CAATCCTGGAGAAGCTCAGAGAGAAAAAGTTTAATAATGGAAACCGCTTAGATTAGTCTCCATGGTAATGACAGGCAACTTACAGTAGCTCATCACACAGGCCTACACACACACACACACACACAGGCCTACACACACACAGGCCTACACACACACACACACACACACACACACACACACACACACACACACACACACACACACACACACACACACACACACACACACACACACACACACACACACACACACACACACACACACACACACACACACACACACACACACACACACACACACACACACACACACACACACACACACACACACACACACACAGCTGAGGGTTCTCGCACAGTCTGGAGTAAAATGCCTGTATATTGACTGACTTGTCCTACATGTTGTGATAAGGAATGATGATATGATGATCAATACCAGCAGCAATAACAATGTGTATGATGTATTGCTTGACTTCATAGTAAACCATTCAAATCAACTCAATCAATAAATGCAGAATCAGTGGTAATACCTGAATGATCTACACCTTGGTTACTTTCTATAAAGGTCTATATTTTTGAATGAAACAAAATAAATCTATTTATGATTCTCCCTCTCTGAGAAATGTGCAAACTGTTGAATCCTTAAATCCTTATGACAATACATTTTGCATACTTGCTTTTCTCAGTTATAGAGCGATGCAGACGACTCATGTCTCTCTCTCTTTATTGGCTTAAATGTACTTTTCAAATGTTCTCACTGCCGTTGACTCACTTTTTTTGTCATAATTCTTTAAATGTGTTAACGTGAAAGCTTCTTTTTGACCTTGGCAATAGCAGTTTATAAAAAGATCCGCTTACTATAATTTTTTTGTGGCTTTCAACCACATCTGATGGTCTTCATGACACGAATCTTTATTGTGTACTGAATGTTTTTGGGGTCAATTCCAGATGAAAAACTAAGTTATTTCAGGGTTGTTTGTGAAAAAAGGTGCATTTTCTGACATGGTCGGTACAGTAAGTGCATTTTAATTTCATGGGGACTTTAACTGGGGGTAAACTCTTCATAAGCTGTAGTCACATTTTTCAGGTTAGGTTTATTTCGTACTTAGCAGCTCATGTGCCGCGGCAGATAGCACAGCAATTAAGTCAGAAGTCAGTAAACAGGCGGCGGCTGTTTTTGTTGGCAGAGCCTCAGGCGAGAGGAAAGAGCAGAGCAGGTGTCAAATACCCCCCCCCTCCAAAAACACTCCACTCTTAAAACCTTTCACCTATAGAGGTTACAGGCAGAGGTGGGAAGTAGTGGAGTACAATTACTTCGTTACTGTACTTAAGTACATTCTTCTGGTATCAGTACTTTACTCCACTACTTATCTTTCTGACGACTTTTTACTTTGACTTCTTACATGTTGAACACAAATACCTGTACTTTCTACTTCTTACATGTTGAACACAAATACCTGTACTTTCTACTTCTTACATGTTGAACACAAATACCTGTACTTTCTACTTCTCACATGTTGAACACAAATACCTGTACTTTCTACTTCTTACATGTTGAACTCAAATACCTGTACTTTCTACTTCCTACATGTTGAACCCAAATACCTGTACTTTCTACTTCTTACATGTTGAACTCAAATACCTGTACTTTCTACTTCTTACATGTTGAACCCAAATACCTGTACTTTCTACTTCCTACATGTTGAACCCAAATACCTGTACTTTCTACTTCTTACATGTTGAACTCAAATACCTGTACTTTCTACTTCTTACATTTTGAACACAAATACCTGTACTTTCTACTTCTTACATGTTGAACACAAATACCTGTACTTTCTACTTCTCACATGTTGAACCCAAATACCTGTACTTTCTACTTCTCACATTTCCCAAACAGGCTGGTTCCTTTAGTTTGAATGTGTGTTTGGTGGCGTGATCATTATTATTTAGAGTCATTGCGTGCCTATTGATTTGAACACGATCCGTGTATCCATCATTTCCTGGTCTTCTCTAAAGAAGAGGGACCAATGAAAACGTTGTCATGTTGCCGTTGTTCAGCATGGAAACATTCATTAGCTAACAATGACATTATTGTTCTATTAATATAAAGGGAGGTCAGGTACTCTTTAAAACAGCTGCTAGTTATGGGTACTTTTTACTGAAGTACATTTCAAAGCCCTCTTTACTTTTACTTGAGTAAAGAAGTTTAGTCAGTACTTCTACTTTCACCAGAGTATTTTTAAACACGAGTATCTGTACTTCTACTTGAGTAAAGGATGTGTGTACTTTTGCCATCTCTGGTAAGAATGGACGTGACTTTCCACTCAAACTGAAAGAGGAGATTTAACAGAATTGGACTAATCTGAGTGTCTTCCTGCTGTGACGACTCTCTCCTTTGTCAGCGGCGCTCTGGGGACTCTCAGATTTCAAATGAAAGGCTCTTGTTTGCACTCATTTTCCTCACCGGGGAGGAAACGCATCAGCACAGATTGATGGACGATTGTTACGCTGATTACGATCAGAATTACAGGTGTGCTGCGAGGTAATGAAGGTTGGTGGCTAATAACGCGCCGGGGATTTACTGATAAGAAAGCCAATTTAAACTGGAGACAAGATGCTCCGTCTCTCCTGGATGTCCTCATTTCTGGGGAGGTCAGCTTATTGTTTGGAGAGCAGGCAAACCAAGATATCTCAGACACTCCAACGCTCTGGATCTCATTCAATTTCGATTCTTCAACAAAGACTTTATACATATCTTAAAGCTGCTGAAAAGGGGGTTTAGATTGGAAGAAGTACTCAGAACGTTTACAGTACGACACAGATAAAAGTCGTACCTTTGAAATGTCACTTTTAATTTTAGTCTTCCTTTGGTTTTGAAGTTTTAGAAATGAACCACTAATATCATCCATTATCGACAAACAAAGTTTATGTCGTCTATGCAAGCAGCTTTTCACGATCCATAATTACATTTATCGTTAGGAGGCGCCCTCTTGTGGCTGTCGTTATAATGACGGGAGCGACGGAGGAATTAAGATGACAGTAAAAAGGGCTAAAAAGTCTACATAGCGAAAATGATATGAGACTTTTACCCGTATAACGTTACAAGGTCAACCTGTAGTTTTCTTTGCTTAACTTGACTAACATTCGGAAACTAAGTTGGGTTAAAACTTGAACTTATCGTAACCCAAACCATGATCTTATCCTGAATCTAACCATGTCGTTTTGTTATCATTTCACAATGTTGACCAGTCACTTGAACTCTCCTGCACTCATACAGCATATGTTGTTTTAGAAGCCATTGGGACTCAATCTAAATTGTGTTTAAGGTATGACTTTTTTCAAATGGAGCCCACTTTGTGTGTCCTACTGTTTTCCCAACCTACACATTTACCATTTCAATCTATTCAAAAAGCTTTTCTTGGCTCTGTAGATGTTAAATATTAAACCCTCATGGGGTAAAATTCAGTTTGATGTTATGCCGACGTCTTTTATGCTTGCATTCCCTTTCTCATCTCTGGGGATAATAAATCTTTCCATCTATGAAATCTCAAACCTGCATCCTCAGCCATATTCACTTAGTCCCTATATTGATGTTATATCATATTGAAGGCAACATTGTAATCTAGAAACTAACTAATAAATAAAGCTATCTGCAAATCTAATTGAGTTTTAAATCACGTAAACAGTACTTGTCAGTCTTGCATCTGAGATCAATTTAAATAAATCAAAGTTGGTGAATCCCTAAATTGTATTTTACATACTGCTTGAGACTGTTTTGTCTTTTTGCTCTGCAGTTTCTTTACTTCCTCTGGTCCAGACCTCGGTATCTAATTAGTGTGAATAAGATCAGGTGAAACTCTGCTTCAAAGAGTGAGGAAAGGACATCTTTAATAACAGCCCTGCTTCGTAATGTAAGCCTATAAAGTAGGCTTTACTGAAGAACACACACTTGAGGGTCAGTAAACAATATGCAGGTAGAATTCACAATAAATAAGTGAGTTCATTTCATACAGCTTTAGTGACACACACCCACACCCACCCACCCACCCACCCACCCACACACACACACACACACACACACACACACACACACACACACACACACACACACACACACACACACACACACACACACACACACACCCACACACACACACACACACACACACACACACACCACACACACACACACACACACACACACCACACACACACACACACACACACACACACACACACACACACACACACACACACACACACGAATAAGCACGGAGGGCATGATCTTGGGATTGTTTGCGTTGTATGCATAACTGATGAACCCTGTGGATCAGCTGATGTTTTATTCAGATATGTAAACACGTTTATTACGAGTGGAAAAGCTGTTTGCTGTTGAACTTTCAACGTGACCTTCATGGAGAAACATCTCACATGCTTGTCATTTCTCGCACTATTACTGGAAGCAGTCATGCCTATATTAGAAATGTACCCGGTGTTTTGGTTGAATACAAAGCTTGATTGAAGGAAATTTACAAAACAAACACATTTCAAATCCTCTAAGAAAGTGCATCGCCACACAGTGTGAATGAAATCACCCTCTTGTTGAATTACAGATGGTCAAATCAAGGCTAGACTGTCTTTTGTCAAGAGTGTTCCTCTCACTCCTTTTTCAAATACACATTATACCTTCTGACTACTTAATTTCAAGCCTATATGTTCATCGGAAAGCACCAGCAAAGCAAGAAAATGTCAAAGCAAGTGTAACAAGTGTCCTGAGACAACAGCACAGCTTTCAGTCAGCCTTCCTGGCATAAACAAATGTTAAAAATGATTATTAGTGACGCAATGTTTTCTCCGGTAATCACTGTTTATGGATTTTGGCGGAAGTGAATGTCAGACTTGAGCTTCCCAAAATGCCGAGGTGATAAAGGTCAGAAAATGAACTCTGAGCTATAATGGCTGTGGAGAGACAAATGCAAACAAGGGCGAAATAAACAACGGTTGATTCTTTAAGCTTTTATTTACAACAGTTATATGTCGCACGTAATCACAGGCTGATCTAAGACATGAGGATTCATCGGGAATACAATGTGGAGGAACAGAGGCAAGAGAGAAGATCCATACAGCAGTAGAAATAAATATATTTGTGTGTAAATAAACTGGCTAATCACATTTCCAGTGTTTCATCTCCTCTTCTTCAATCAAGGCTCTGACGTCTTCAGGAACGCTAACTCTTTTAAAAGATCACTTGTCAATCCCAATACAAGGTGACAACATTTCCAATGAAATGGGACAATATGTTAGTCCTTGGCCGCCCACAAAGTGTACATTTGGATATTCTGGCAAACATATATGGTACTGTAAGCTTTTAGACAGAGTAACTACTTTCATTTTTTTGCCCCTGGCTACAATTTGTTGCGACTAGTCAAGCTAGCTAGCATCAGATAGCAAGCTAGCTAGCTACGTACAACATCGCAAACACATAAATTCCTAAAATATTTAACTCACAGGCTGTACATAATTTAAGCTAGGTAACACAAGTTACCTAAACCAAGTTATTTTCGTAAACATTACCAAGTAGTAAATTCACCACGTGTTTCAAATGTGCGATCTAGGTGAAGTTTGCCCAGTCTAAAGCATTATAAGGGAAGTGAAAACAAGCTTTTTAATGGACTGATAACTAAGGAAATGGGTGGCAAAGCATGGCCACCTACATTTAGAGATGGGGCAACACAGATAATAAGATAGTTTACTCCTTATTGGAGTGTCTAGCTCCGTCCCATAACAAATTAGCATTAGCAACAATTTGATGGTGGGGTTCGCTATTTTTCAATGACATGAATTCCTGTGTCAAATGTAAACCTAACACAAATGAAAAAGTCAAACTCCATCTCCACAAGTGAGTGAGTCGACTGAAGTAAATTCATTTTGGTCTCTGCCTTTAGAAAAAAGGAGATTCAGGCCAAACAGCCAAACCGTAAAGATGTTAGCTGTATTATTAGCATGATGCTAACGTACGGGCTGCTTATGCGTTTCCTCGTCAGTGTTTACTGTAACCTTTTAATGATATTTACATGTGATTTAGATGAAGAATACAGTATTTACAGATCTCCATCCTTCATTAAGACGTGCATTAAAGAGCCCTTTAGGCCCCGGCCTGCTGGGGGGGTTCCAGGGCTCGGATGTGGACGCTGGGCAGAGTGAACCAAGCTAAAGGAAGATCTCGTCCAGCGCTGTCGTCCTGAAACTTTATGTTCAGGTAGAAATCTCCGGTGTAGAGGAAGAGCAGCGCGCCCACACACACAGAGCTCTCTTTGGGTTTCACCTGGAGAGGGAAAACACAGACAGAAAGGAAACATGAGCAGACATCTTTAACGTAGCTTCATTATGAACCTGGAACACAGTGATGCTGCAGCCCAACACAGTCTCACGGCATTTCGTGTTATCGTCACGAAATTAATCTATTAATTCGTGTTCACCAACACGATTTCGCCATTTTTTTCGTGTCACACAGAACGATTTTAAAAGCAATGTAAATAATAACAAATTAGAAGGAAAAAAAGATAACAAAAATACAGATTTCAGTATTCTGACACAGAACGATTTCAAAAGCAATGTATTTCTATTGGTAGTATGTTTCGTGCCTGCACCAAATAATAACAAATTAGAAGGAAAAAAAGATGACATAAAATACAGATGTCAGTATTCTGAGGCTCTGAGACATTTATTTTCCTCACTGACGGCAAAAAAACTCAGACATTATACAATTTAAAATAAAAGGGATAGGGTTAGGCTTAGGGTAAAATATTGAGTAAGAACATGTTTTTATGAACCACACAGCTTCTGGTCTTCCAAGACCCGACCGGACAAAAAGACGTGTTGCAGGCACGAAACATACTACCAATAGAAATACATTGCTTTTAAAATCGTTCTGTGTGACACGAAAAAAATGCGAAAATCGTGTTGGTGAACACGAATCAATAGATTGCATTAATTTCGTGACTATAACACGAAATGCCTGGGTTGTGCAGCCACACGAGAACGGTAACGGTCGTATCTGCTACAGTTCTCTATCAGATAGACGGTTCGGCCACACGAGGCCGGCAGGGAAACGCAGATAACGATAACGGGTCCCTAGGTGGGTAGATCTGGGGACGCAACGCTCTGGGGGGCCAAACGGCTCCGTGTCTACGCCTATACGATCATTTCCTGATAACGTTGAAGCCATAGCCCCGCCTCTGCCCACCTGCTCAGAGATCAGCTGCTGGGCTCTCAGAAGAGGGGGAGAAAAAGAGAGGCTCCGTGTTTTATTCTTATATTATTATATAGAGTCGTTATCAATTTGTTTTAAAGCTCAATAAATAACAAAGAAGACCTTTGACCGGCACTTTTCTAATTTTGTCCGGAAGATTTAAACTTTAACGGACATCTTGACCGGCGAAACAAACTGAAACTGAAACTCTGCCGCTCGGTCCCCTCGTCCCTTGGAAGAGGCGGAGAGGTGGGTGTTTGTCATCTGCTGGTGGACTAACCGGAGAGAATTACAGCAGGAGCAAACGCTTGCCTCGGGGAGGGAGAAAAAAAGCCACAGCGGGGAATAAACAGAAGGGTAACCATGGCAACCATGCGCGGGAAGTCTTCTTCGCTGCTTTTGTGGCAGGAGTACAGCGCCACTTACAGGCCCGGCATATGTACTACAGCGTCTCCAGCGCTTTCGAGCAGTCTCGTGTGAACGGACACGTTTCTGGTGCCTGTTGCGTGAGGACGGAAGACTTTTTTGATATCGGATTTGGTTCGTTTGCGTTACCGTTCTCGTGTGGCTCCAGTCTGAGACAGAAGAGTGAAGCCAGCAGGGGAGTTTGGTTAGTTTGAAAGCTTTGATGAAAAGGTGTTAAAGTTTAAAAAAGATATATGTTTTTTAAACGGTCTTCTACAAGCAAATGTAGGACATATAATGGGTGTTTTAGTATGAGGTAGATAGCCATGGGGGTACAGAAAAAGTGCATCAAAATAGTGCAAGTCTCGTAGCAAAAATGAACAACCTTTGGCATGTCCAATCAGAATCCAGTATAATGCTGTCTTACGGCGACAGAGATAAGACACTTTTCTCTGTTGCAGACTATTTGATGTTTTTTCCCACAGACTCACAAAAGCCTCTTTCAGATATGCATCCTGTGACATAATTCACATGTTGGTGCAGCGTTCTTTCCTTCATTTAAAAAACAATTCCCAAAATGAAGTTGTTATGCAATTTCAGGGAATATGGGGAATTCATTCATCTCCTTTTGAGACTCTCTGTTCTGCCAAGCTGCTTTTTCAAAATTCAAAAGTGAGAACGCCCTCCTCTGTCAAGGTTGTTTTTGATTTAAAGATCACAGGCGTGACATTTAAAGGAACATACCCGTGTTTTTGTAGTTTTAAGCTATTGGCTGAGCATGATGGAGTATAGGTTTTAAATGTTTCTCTTGCCTGCTGGACATTTCAATTCAAGTCTTAATTTACATTAAGTTAGAACGTGCTTTACTTCATCAAGGCAAACATTACGCCTGCCTCCACTGTTCCCTGAGGTAGATTAATGTGTATTCTAAAGCCTGAACTGCAATAAAACATCATGTTAGAATCATTTGGAGAGCCGTCATTACGTAACTGAAGCGAACCATAAATCTGAGCGAGCCTGAGGAAGTAATTTAAAACACGATGATGTGCTTTTAAATACTGTGTACAGTCATGTTCCCTCATTTTTGTTAATGCTTTCTTAACATGGTGTTTGAAGGACAGTTGAAAGTATTTAGGGGGATGTTTTGGGAAGAAATTAAATATAATATTAAAATCTTTATTTACATTTGGTTAGGTTAGCTATGTTTCTACAGTAGCCCAGAATGGACAAATCAAACTCTGGATAAATAAGAATAAATTATTGTATAAACTGAGACATAACATCTTATGGTATTACTTTTTATTTGATATTGAATTGACCGTTTTTACTTTAAAACTGAATGTGTTTGGTCAGTACTTCTACTTTTACCAGAGTATTTTTAAACACGAGTATCTATAGAACTTCCACACCAACACTATGTGCAATATAAATACCATCATTACAAAACACTCTGCTATATAACATGTGCAATATTATTATTATTAATGTTCGATAAATGACGTAACTACTGCTACGTTTTTTTTGCACTACTAAATACTGTTAATATTTACATTAATGATGTGACCATCTATGTTTCCTGTAGTTATTGAATTGCTCTTTTTACTGCACTGTTAGTGTACAGTTTTATTATTATTGTACTTTTATTTAAACAATTTGATCTTATCTGTACATCGACTTGAGTAAAGGCTGTGTGTACTCTTGCCCTCTCTGATGACATGCATCTGGAGCCCTCACTGACCGTGTCGATGTAGAAGGTGTTGGATCCGATGAAGGTCACGGCGTCCTCCAGCTCGTAGTTCTGGACCCCGTTCTGGTAGTCCTGGTACGGGACCACGGTCAGCGCCAGCGGACCCACTGAGTTCTTACTCAGGTTGGTCAGCTGGACCTCCAGAGACACAGCGTCGCCTGATCTACAGTCAGCGACGACATCACAGTCACACGGCTTCCCATTCACCAGCACATCTGGAGACAGAGGACGATACAAAGGGATTAGGAGGAGGGGGACAGTTTCATCCCACAGGCCATGAGACTGTTAAACACCTGAACATCCATATCATTCATCTGTTTGCAACTTCAACTTCATCATCTTGATTAATTGTAAGCAGCTTATGACCCACGTGCTGAATTAATGATCTAATATATCATATTCCAATTACTTGTATATAGACTCTGCTTGCACTATTTCCATTATATTTTATTTGTATTACTTGGACTATTTTAACAATTGTATCTGTGTTATTGTGTTGCACTGTTGGAGGAGCCTGTGACCTCAGATTGTCATCGCCATATCTACACTGTAGCTACGTACACATGACACAAAAAGCCTCGAATCTTGACAGCTGTCTTTGTGTGACGTTCTATAGAAAGAAATGAGGAGAATCGGGCAGAATTAAGAGCACTTCAAATCTCATCCCATCTCCATTTCACCCGACCGCTAATGGCTGATCATTCTGCTTCTGGTGGACGATCAATACGCTTTGTTTGTCAGAAAAAACATTTCACTGACATCAGCGAGAGCTCTGGAGCTGAGGGGAGGACACTGAACTCCCTCCGGTTCATCTCATGCATGACTGATTAGTGTTAAAACAGGACGAGATAGTTCACACACACACACCACACACACCACACACACACACCACACACACCACACACACACACACACACAACACCACACACACACACACACACACACACACACACCACACACACACACACACACACACACACACACACACCACACACACCACCACACACACCACACACACACACACACACACACACAGTATATAACACACTACAAGACAGGGGCAAGCAACCCCAAAAAGCATAATAGGGCCTATTTAAGAATAATTTGATGACAATACTTTTGTACATTTACTGGATGTATTGAACGCAAGACTTTCAACCTGTAATACAGTCTACTTTGACTTTAGTTTGAAATCTGAGTCTTTCTTCCCCCTCTGCTCTCAGCTCTCTCTCTCCTCTCACAACCGCCCCAGGAACTCTGAGTGACTTCAATTCAATCCCTCTAATGTGAGGCCCGTCACTCCTGACTCGCCTCCATTTGGCTGAGGTACAGAGGGAGACACCATGATTTGTTTGGAAACAATGAGCTCACTGAACTCGCATCCGGCGGCAGGGATGAAGCATAAAAAAAGACTGACTCAAAACACGAGAGGGGGCCCGGAGAGATCACCCGAGTAATGACTCCGCGGAGAATAAAGGCACACACACACAAACCCACAAACACACGAACACACGAACACACGAACACACGAACACACACACACACAAACACACGAACACACGAACACACACACACACAAACACACGAACACACGAACACACGAACACACGAACACACACACACGAACACACGAACACACGAACACACAAACACACAAACACACAAACACACACACAAACACACAAACACACACACAAACACACAAACACACGAACGTGTTGTCAAACGCTTTCTAGAGTCAGGCTCGCAGCTGTGATAAACACTGAGTCAGAGCTGGTGTGCCGATATGTTGCGTGTGGAGAGGAGTAGGAGGAGGGGGACATATCAAATCAAACTTTATTTGTATAGCCCAATATCACAAAACACGTTTGTCTCAAAGGGCTTTAAAAATACATCAAATATTCAAATTAATTACTATAAAAAGACAATAAAATGAATACCATGAAATGCCAGCTCTAACTGAAGGCTAACTTGTGGACACTCTCTGCCTCTGACATGGAGACAGACAGACCATCAGCAGGAGGGGAAATGATGGCGTGCTGTCAAACAGCCCGGAGAGCTGAAACTACAGGAGGTGACATTCAGATCCACGGCCGTATTAAATACGCACTTCACTCCAGAACCAGCAGGGGCTCGGGGGGGCTTTTTGTCTGTGTAGATGTGAAATGAAGTGTCACTTCGCTTGTAGTACATTTCAGGACTTTTCACGTAAACAATTGAGTTTCTTTTCCTTTTAAAATGACCAGTTTAAACTAAATCAATATCCACTTTCTTTGCAAATCTGTGGGGTTTTTTCTTGTCAATTTACCACTTTCATCTCAAAGAATAGCAAAGATTTTTTTTCACGTACATTTAAAATTAAAAATATTTTTTCTTGGGATATGTCCCTCTTTGCGAGGCTTTGTTTCCATAGTGATACTTCCGTGTGTTGACATGTCATTTTATGAGTTAAACCAAACTATTACCTTCCTCAAAATCATTGCAAAGAAAGTCGTTTTTTTTTCAATTAGAAAGATACCAACGCCACATAAACGAGGCAATACAATTGCATTTTATGAGATGCACCCCTTGTGCACCAACATAATCACTCAATGCCGTTTCTTAATTGCATACATTTTTGGTATATAATGGATCAGTTTTTCTCGTAAATGTTTGATTTTAACCACTTTAATCTCAGATGATATGAATGTTGATTTCCCCTGAATGTACAACTTAAATCTAAAAAGAAACTGAGTTGTTCTTGAGATATTACCCCCACCAGGCTCTGTAATTATGTTCTTATACATTTTCCAAGGCAGCAAAAGAGACACCAGTTGATCTGATTGCCCTAAAATTACATTAAAAGTGTATTTATTTGATTCAATATGCAGATCCCCGTACAGTACAGTAACTGTTGTTATTGCAGTATACAGTACAGAGCCATAACCCCTGCATCCTAATACATAATGTATCAAGAGGTTATAGCCATGCACAGCCTGATTTATACATACACATAGCCGGTGGCAATGAGCCTATAGTGACACCTAAGCATGAAGATATATTTAGTTTGTTCAAAGTCTTGTTGCTAGGAGATGTGCAAATTATAGATAGCCTACATCGGCTCGAAAACTGGAAATAAATTCCTTCACATTAAAGAGAACAAAAGAGAACGGTTAGACTGTAATGAGCTCACACACACACACACACACACACACACACACACACACACACACACACACACACACACACACACACACACACACACACACACACACACACACACACACACACACACACACACACACACACACACACACACACACACACAGTTGGAAGAACGCCAGCACGCTCTGATGAGTAAAACAACGACTGTGTTTACTCATCATGAAAACAAAAATAGATTTCATAACAAGTGTGCCTAATGTGAGCAGGGATGAGGGTAATGTTTAAGTTTTACACAACTCATCCATTATGTCACTTTTTAAACACGTAAACCAACCGACCAATATTGGAAACATCGAGGTTTCTGATTGGTCGGGGTTCTCTGCAAACATCTTTGCTTTTCTCCAGAGAGGACACCAAAGGTCACGACAAAACGCCGTAAACATCTGCTGTCTGTTTCCTGTTGTGCAGAGCTGAGTGACGTAGAGATACTTTCACCAATTACTTCCAGGTTACCTTCACTGTGATTGTGGAAAATGGGTTCATACAGGAATGTGTCTAGTTTTCTGAAGATAACAAAAGCCCAGTTGTGCTCTCTATTAGTCAAATGTATTACGATATAGGGCTGCTCGATTATGGCAAAAATCATAATCACGATTATTTTTGGTCAATAATTGATATCACGATTATTTATAACATCCATTTATTGAAATAAATAAATAATTGAACAGTATGTTTTTAACAGTTGATTACCCTGAACTTTAAGTTTAATTCAACTGAAAAACCAATAAAACAAATTATAATACTTATAAATAAAAATAATAATCGTTTTATTTCGATTACGTTGTTTTCGTAATCGCTGCAAGCCAAAATCGAGATTAAAATACGATGAATTGCACAGCCCTATTACGATAGCAGCCATCTTGGACAGTGACATTTGTGCACATGCAACAGGTACTGAAATGATTGTCTGTGTTGTGACAGGTAAGGAGGGAGAGGCATTTATATAAAGTAGGCCAATTCAAATGAACTCCATTGACCAGCTGATACAATAACGAGATAAAGACATCAATTCATGAGAAATATATGAGGTATGATTCTTAAATGGGCCATTAGGAAGGAGCATTTAAAACTTCGACATGCTTCACTACGTCAGCACATACCGCACGCATCTCTTTTATTTAATATCGTCAAATATTGCGTGAATATTTTAACAAGTAATTCACCTGGAGCTGTTTTTGATAAATCACTCAAGCGGTACAATTATCCAAATGAAAAATTCTCTTTTCATTTGTAAAAACTGTCATACTTGAAGAAGAAGGATTTTAAAGTCTAGAAGCAAGTCAGGTTTCGTGTAAGGACAATTAAAACAGCTGTTTCCTTTATCCCTCTCTATCCCTTTAGTATTCTTAGTTTTGACATTAGCAATCAATAAATAACTATTTCTTATTTTCCATAAAGCATATTAGCTGATTTTGAACTCAGTTTTGTATCATCTTGCTGATAGGCTTAGTTGTAAGAAGCTGACGACCCACGTGCTTAAATTATTCATATCTTTGATATGGATTTCAATAAACAATCTCAGGCTTACACAAATGACACATCATGCCTGCAATTACAAATGAGAAGAACATAACACATTTGTGGGGGAAATGTCTGAAGCAGTCAGGACTCAGAGAGACACGAGGAGAGCTGGAGCTTTGATGGAGTCAGGACTCAGAGAGACACGAGGAGAGCTGGAGCTTTGATGGAGTCAGGACTCAGAGAGACACGAGGAGAGCTGGAGCTTTGATGGAGTCAGGACTCAGAGAGACACGAGGAGAGCTGGAGCTTTGATGGAGTCAGGACTCAGAGAGACACGAGGAGAGTTGGAGCTTTGATGGAGTCAGGACTCAGAGAGACACGAGGAGAGCTGGAGCTTTGATGGAGTCAGGAGTCAGAGAGACACGAGGAGAGCTGGAGCTTTGATGGAGTCAGGACTCAGAGAGACACGAGGAGAGCTGGAGCTTTGATGGAGTCAGGAGTCAGAGAGACACGAGGAGAGCTGGAGCTTTGATGGAGTCAGGACTCAGAG